AAATAGCTCTTTCGTTAATTTCACCAAATTTTATTTGTCCTACTAAAACGAAAAACTTTGGTTTTACAAGATTTGTTGTGTTACGTATCGATTCTTGATATTTCTTCATCATCAATTTCTTCTGTTCCTTAATTTTGCCTTTGATAGTTTTTGTAAGAAAGCGTGGATATCGGTAATCAATGCTGAAAATATATATTCCGCATTATAGACAAAAAATCTGAAAAACATTAATTTCCATTTTAACTCACATTTTATCTTCCCATTCTCCATTCTCCATTCTCCAATCTCTATTCTTCATTCTCCATTCTCCATTTCACATTTTACATTTTTCATTTTCCTTTTTCCACTCTCAATTCTTCATTACACTTTCCCATTTTCCATTTTTCAATTACCATTTTTGATTTTTGATTTTCCTTTTCCCATTCTTCATTCTCCAATTCCAATCTCCATTTCTTTAATTTTCCTCTTCTCATTCTTCATTCACCACTCTCCATTCTCCACTCTCCATTCTCCATTCTTCATTTTCCATTCTCCATTCCCTATTCTTCAATTTCTATTCCCCATTCTCCATTTTTCATTTTCCATTATTTTAATTTTTCTTCTCCCATTTCCCATTACCCATTCCCCATTCTCCATTCTCCATTCTCCATTCTCCATTCTCCATTCCCCATTCTTCATTCTTCATTCTCCATTCTCCATTCTCCATTCCCCATTCTTTATTCTCTATTCTCCATTCTCCATACTCCATTCTTCATTCTCCATTCTCCATTCTCCATTCTCCATTCCCCATTCTTCATTCTTCATTCTCCATTCTCCATTCTCCATTCTCCATTCTCCATTCTCCATTCTCCATTCTCCATTCTCCATTCTCCATTCTCCATTCTCCATTCTCCATTCTCCATTCTCCATTCTCCATTCTCCATTCTCCATTCTCCATTCTCCATTCTCCATTCTCCATTCTCCATTCTCCATTCCCCATTCTCCATTCTCCATTCTCCATTCTCCATTCTCCATTCTCCATTCTCCATTCTCCATTCTCCATTCTCCATTCTCCATTCCCCATTCCCCATTCTCCATTCTCCATTCTCCATTCTCCATTCCTCATTCCTCATTCTCCATTCTCCATTCTCCACTCCCCATTCCCAATTTCTCCATTCCCCAAACCCCATTCTAGATTCTCCATTCTCCATTCTCCATTCCCCATTCGCCATTCCCCATTCGCCATTCCCCATTCCCCATTCCCTATTCCCCATTCACCATTCCCCAATCCCTATTCTATATTCTCCATTCTCCATTTTCCATTTTCCATTCTCCATTCCCCATTCCCCATTCCCCATTCCCCATTCCCCATTCCCCATTCCCCATTCCCCATTCCCCATTCTCCACTCCCCATTCTTCCTTCTCTATTCTCCATTCTCCATTCTCCATTCTCCATTCCCCATTCTCCATTCTCATTCTCCATTCTCCATTCTCCATTCTCCATTCTCCACTCTCCATTCTCCATTCTCCATTCTCCATTCTCCATTCTCCATTCTCCATTCTCCATTCCCCATATTTTATTCTCCATTCCTATACCCCATTCTCCATTCTCCATTCCCCATTCCCCATTCCTCATTCTCCATTCTCCATTCTCCATTCCTCATTCCTCATTCTCCATTCTCCATTCTCCACTCCCCATTCCCCATTCTCCATTCCCCAAACCCCATTCTAGATTCTCCATTCTCCATTCTCCATTCCCCATTCGCCATTCCCCATTCCCCATTCCCTATTCCTCATTCTCCATTCCCCAATCCCTATTCTATATTCTCCATTCTCCATTCTCCATTCCCCATTCCCCATTCCCCATTCCCCATTCCCCGTTCCCCATTCTCCATTCTCCACTCCCCATTCTTCCTTCTCTATTCTCCATTCTGCATTCTCCATTCTCCATTCTCCATTCTCCATTCCCCATTCTCCATTTTTCATTCTCCATGCTCCATTCCTCATTCTCCGTTCACCATTCTACATTCCTCATTCCCCATTCGCAATTCTCCACTCCCCATTCTCCATTCTCTATTCTACATTCTCCATTCTCCATTCCCCATTCCTCATTCTCCAATCTCCATTCTCTATTCCCCATTCTCCATTCTCCATTCTCCATTCTCCATTCTCCATTCTCCATTCTCCATTCTCCATTCTCCATTCTCCATTCTCCATTCTCCATTCTCCATTCTCCATTCTCCATTCTCCATTCTCCATTCTCCATTCTCCATTCTCCATTCTCCATTCTCCATTCTCCATTCTCCATTCTCCATTCTCCATTCTCCATTCTCCATTCTCCATTCTCCATTCTCCATTCTCCATTCTCCATTCTCCATTCTCCATTCTCCATTCTCCATTCTCCATTCTCCATTCTCGATTCCCCATTCTTCATTCTCCTTTCTCCATTCCCCATTCTCCATTCACCATTCCCCATTCTCCATTCTCCATTCTCCATTTCCTATTCTCCATTCTCCATTCCCCATTCTCCATTCTTTATTCTCCATTCCCCCGTTCTCCATTCTCCATTCCCCATTCTTCATTCTTCATTCTCCATTCCCCATTGTCCATTTTTCATTGTCCATTGTCCATTGTCCATTGTCCATTGTCCATTGTCCATTGTCCATTGTCCATTGTCCATTCTCCATTCTCCATTCTTCATTCTCCATTCTCCATTCTCCATTCTCCATTCTCCATTCTCCATTCTCCATTCTCCATTCTCCATTCTCCATTCTCCATTCTTTATTCTCCATTCCTATATCCCATTCTCCATTCTCCATTCTCCATTCTCCTTTCTCCATTCTCCATTCTCCATTCTCCATTCCCCATTCTCCATTTTTCATTCTCCATTCCCCCGTTCTCCATTCTCCATTCCCCATTCTTCATTCTTCATTCTCCATTCTCCATTCCCCATTGTCCATTTTTCATTGTCCATTGTCCATTGTCCATTGGTCATTGTCCATTGTCCGTTGTCCATTGTTCATTTTTCATTGTCCACTCTCCATTCCCCATTCCCTATTCCTCATTCTTCATTCTCCATTTACTACTTCCCTTAATCCACTCCCCATTCCCCCTCATTCTATAATTCCCATTCCACACTTCCCATTCCGCACTCCACATTCCACATTTCTGTCTTTAATACCATACTCTCACTCGAAAATGCTGATGGAAGCGGCAGTATTTGATGCATTTTCTGTCAACGTTTTCAAAAGCTCCAGTTTTGACTTGTTTACTCAAAAAAATGACACTTTTAAAGAAGATGTGATGTTAATACGCTCCACTTTTGAAGTCGCTTTCGGAAGGCCTCGCTTCTATAAGTATTTTCAACCGTCTTCGACGTGGATGATCATGACAAAAACGCCTAATTACACTAGTTTCTTGTAACGAAACCGAACTCGTCTGCTTTCTGATTGCGCTTGTCTTTAACCATGGAAACAATAGCTATCAAAGAACCTTTCCTTAAATTGTGCAGTTAAAAATAATACTAAAAATTTCTCTATTTCATGTTTTGACTTTCCAATGACTTCTTCTTTAAAAAAAAAAAAGGTTTATATAAAAAAAAAAGATTTCAGATCGTCGGTCAAAAATACAATATTTATTATTCCTGGACTTTAATTTTAATAACCGCTCATGCATTTGATAAGTTATTCAAATATTTTTTGTTGTAATAAGATTCCATGTAGTATAGTTACGCGATCTTAACTGGACAACATGACAAAGAGGTGAACAAGTCGTTATAAAATTCCTTCCATTCACGATTTATCAACAAAATGTTTGTCAAATAGTACAAATAGGCTATTGAGACTTTAAAGCCTTATGCTTCAGAGATTTTCTTCTTAAAATTTACAGGCGGTTCTGTAAAACCGATAAGATTACTCTTTTCAGACTTAGTAAGAAACTTAGAGGGGTAATTTGAAAATCCAGTAAATGCATTAATTTTATTTCTTGTATTTAGGTAGGATTCGCACCTCAAACAAGGGCTAGAAATAAAATATAATGGGGCAGTAACCTTTTCCTTGACATGAAAACCATAACCACCGAAGAATGCTAGCCCGTTCTTCGCCTCTTCCACTGAGAGCCTAGCACTTATCACTTATTGGTCCCTCTTCCAAGGGGAGGGGGGAGGAGGAAGGAAGGTGAGTACTCTCACCATTACCCTACGTTCGCTTTCTAAAACAAATATGAAGGGGGGAGGGGAGAGGGGAGGTAAGCGAGTACACCCATAATTAATCTACACCCGCCTACAAAAAAAATATGGTTTTCAAAAAAAATGTCTTAAATTTAAATGAATTTTTAAAAAAATCGTCTTCGATCACCAGACTTAAGATTAAAAAAAGTTTGTTCGCGAAGCAATTAGCAATTAGCTAAATAGTTATATCCGGCAATCAAAAAGACTTATTTACCTTATATACGAAACTTTTGGTAATAAGTAATAAAGCGACTACATTAATTCGAATAATACCTCTATACAATATATGTCAATATTGAAGAAAATTAAAGCTATCGCTTACATAGAAAACATGAATACAAACAGGAGCCCATCACCTGATGGGCTCCTGATACAAACTATTTAGGAGATCTGGAGCAATTACTTTTCAACTTATCATGTATTGCTAACGCTTCCTCTAAACTTTCCATAATTGGTTTAAAAGTCTCCTCAGCTTTCAGTTCTGAACCAATCATCTACGAAAACCGTCTGGTGGTCATACGCGTTTTTCCCGCTCCTCTTTGGGTTTTTTTATTGATTTACTAACCTGTGATTTACTTTCTTAGCTTCTTAACAAAAGAACTTAAATGCACTTCCATGGTATGACTCGTTCTTTTAGTATCTAGCTAGACGAGATTATTTACACAACTAGATAATTGGGTTAACTGAAAGATTTAATTCTTTACACTTCTTGGTAGAGATACGTCTGTCATTTACATCGCCATTTCACGAATACATTTTTGAAATCGATACTTTTTTTACTTATTATATGTTACTAAAATATCTGAATACGATTATTGCCCGTATCAGCGACAACAATTCGCCCTGTAGAAAGATCCGCCAGAGACCTTGGACCATAGAATTCTCCTAAATTGCCACCTTCAGTTCCAAACTTACTGAAAAACCTTCCATTCAGTTCAAATACTTGTACTCTATTATTATATGAGTCACAAACCATCAGGTCTCCTGATTTGTTCACTGACAAACATCCGGAATTATAAAACTCCCCGTACCCACCACCCCTCTTTCCAAACTTGTACTGAAAGTTTCCATTCCTGTCATAAACTTTAATACAATGTTCATTTCTGTCCGACACTATGAGATATGTTTCGTACTGGACACAGTGGATAGGACAAGTAAAAGCCCCCTGTCCACCTATCTTCATTAGAAACATGCCATCAGAAGAAAAGACCTTTATCATTTTGTTACCTGTATCAGCAACAATAATGTTTCCATCACTGTCTACCGATAAACCCCAAGGAGAATTTAGCCGACTATCAAGGTTTCCTTTCTTACCAAAAGTGCCCACATACTGACCCTCCCCACTGAAAATCTGGATTCTGTTGTTACCCGGGTCTGACACAAAAATATTTCCATTTTCATGAAATGCTATTCCCCTCGGATATTTAAACTCTCCGGCTTTGTCACCCTCCCTACCAAATGATTTCAAGTAATCTCCATTCTTGTTGAAAATTTGAACTCTGTGGTTGTCCAAATCAGTTACAGCTATTTCATCCCTGGCATTTACTGCTACGCCCCAAGGACAACGAAACATTCCTACAGAAGAACCCTCTTTTCCGAAAGACAACACGGCTTTGAATTGAAATTGTTTTACTACTACAGTAAAAGGGCTGTTTTGAACATGATGTCCGTTTACCTTTACAGTTACTTTAAACCTTCCTAAATCTCTGGGAGAATAGCTGATCTGATAGAGTCCATCTTTACTGTCATTTATTTGCACTTCCGTCATGCATTCTCGTCCATGTTCGTCCGTGATCTCCACCGTTACGTGGTCATGTTCATTGTAACACTGTCTTCGTTCGGCGTCTCTTGTAGTCAAAGTAAACTGCGCTTTATGGTTAACAAATCCTTCTTCAAGTCCTTTACCTTCAGCAACTGACTGGCTTGCTTTTGTTTGGTGTAATACTCGCAAAGATCCAATTCCTTCGGCTTCAACAGTGTTGAACAGCTTTTGATTCTCCACAAAAGCTGAAAAAGGAGGCTTTATAAGGTTGAAGATCAAGAGTTGGTCTTGATCAACGCGTTGAAATATTGTCCCTAATGATTTCATCAGTTGAACGACTTGGACGTTCGTACTTCGTATCATCAGTTTATCAGCTTTCTCCAACGATGATTCGATTACCATAATTTGACGTTCGATCTGCGTTTTTTGCCCTGCAATAATTTCGAGCGATTTCCTCGTTTCTCTCTCCACTGCTTCATAAATGGCTTGTTTTTTTGCTTCAACAGTTGTAAACAAATTTTCCACAAGTTCCTGTACTTCTCGCTTCAAGTCTTCTCCTCTTTGTATTATTTTTGCGTAATCCTGGTCGAGTTGTCCCACAATATTTATTTTTTCTCGTAAATCACTCTTCTTTGTTTCTATCAGTGATTTCATTTGAATCTTTTGTTTTTCAGCTTCTTCGTCTAAGTGCGCTATAGCGTGACCCGCATGATCTATCAATACACAACTTTGGCAAGCCGCCTCAGTACAATTCTTGCAGAAGTATTTCAGTTCTTCTTTCTCGTGGCGCTGTTTCGAGCAGTATGTGGGTCGTTTCATTACATCCTTAAAGTCCTTTTCTTGAAAATCTCTGAGCGCAAGAACACGGTGATCTTTGTTACTTCGCATGATGTTGTGTCCAATGACGCATTCTTGGCAATAAAATATGCAACACTGGAAACAATAAAATGTCTCGTAGCTTTTCTTGTCGCAATTTCCGCACGATACTTGACTGTTTTTACATTCTTTAACGGCTAATACATCAATCAGGCCGTTCAAGTAAAAACTGGTTGGTAGATCTTTCAGATCGCCACTTTCCGGAACTTTGTTTAGAGCTTGACATTTCGGACATCTGATTGTGTCTCGGCCATGACTTGTTCTGCGCCATTGCTGCAAGCATTGGAGGCAGAAACTGTGTAAACATTGGAGCTGTTTTGGGTTCGTGTAGATGTTAGTACACACAGGACATGACAATTCTTCTCGAAGATCTTGGAGCCATGTTTTGATATCCATTTTGTTCGTCAGATGTAAGCGAGGAGAGCAGCTGTTTGGCATAAATCAGCTTGAAACAATGAAACCTTGTGATAATCTTTTTCAGCTTTCCTTACAACTAGCTGTAAATTACCTTAGTGGATTCAGCTCACTCAACCAATCATGAAACAGGAAGACATTTGTTTGTCTCAGACTCTGTCATTCAAGTTTAAACGTTGATTAAACCAAAAGAAAAATCTCTTTCGTGCATTATGTGCAATTAAGACCACTCACAACACCAGTTCTTAAAAATTACGCACAACAAGAAAAATATAAGAAAATTGATTTGTTAAGAAAAAAATGATTTGTTAAGAAAAAATTTGATTCAATCGTTCCGTAAAAAGTTACCCTGACTTGTTTCGTTATGTAACTGTCTGAAGCTGAGCGAATAGCAAAAATAATTACTTTATTTATGTCAATCAAGTTTACATTAAAGAGAGTATTTGTGGTTATAATCCATCATAAGTTCCGTAGTTGGCCGCACACTTGCTACCAATATTCAGGCATATTACTTCTTGACACTTGTTAGATTCGTTATCTGCTTGGCGCGTGTTTTTGTTGTGAAAGGAGAATTATTCTTTGATATGATTTTTCAGTTTCGCTGCAGTCGCCAGCTTGAAAAGTGAGGCAAGTGCTTTGACTGATCGAAAACTATCCTCTTAATTAAGCAAACCTCTATTTCTTAAAAAGAATGAATTTGACCAATCAAGGGTTAATGAAACGAATAATCTTTAGTTTTACAACCTTTTTTTGCCTCTGACAATTTTTGTAAAAAGTGTGGATATCGATAATAAATGCTGAAAATATAGATTCCGCAATATAAAAATAAAATCTGAAAAACATTAATTTCCCGATTTTTTTTTTAATTTTCCATTTTATTTTCCCATTCTCTATTTTCCATTCTCCAACCACTCTAAATTTGAAACGCTTGTACCACGAGGTAGTAGTAAACATATTCAGGCATGGTCTTAAATTATTTTTCGTTTTCGTTATGTAATCGAAAGGAAAGCTGTTATCACAAAGAACATTTTCAGGCTATCGCTCTGACGAAGGGCTAACGCTCTAAACGTCAGCTTTAAACGTCTTTACGGTGGCTGATTTATGTTATGAAACCAGTTGATCATACTTGTTCCCTGTTATACCCTCCCACCGACGCAGCGCCACAGTTTCTTTAGAAACTTGCCCCCTTTTTATGTTCAGGCATGTTTGTGAAGGCGCATAGTCTCTGGCGTTCATTTCCGTAAAACGAATAATTCACGGCAGGACCCCGAAAAACGCAAAAAAAAGAGAGCCCCTTTAAAAACGATGCTGCGATTGTCATAACGCTGTGCTTTTCAAATAGGTTCGAAAGACTTCTTTACCATGAGTATTTTCGGGCGATTTAGTTTGGATGAGAAATAAAAACACATGAAAAAGGAAGGAGTTTCGAACAAAACCGAATTCGTTTGTATCCTGATATCGCCTATAACTTTGGGATAGCTCAGACTGTCCCAGTCTTCTTGGAAACTGGGGCAATCGGGTCGACTCGGGCTGAGACTCGACCAAGGCGATTCTTAGTAAAAAGTGATATCTTCTCTTGACATAACTTAGTTTTTGAACCTTAAAAAAAGAACAACAAAGAAACAAACAGGGACACGTAACCATGATAATAATCGCTTTCTCAGAACGTTTCGTTAAATTGTGCAGGTTTAAATAACAACAATTTTCCGCAACTTTCAGATGGAGCAATTCCTTTCTCTATTTGATATTCTGGCTTTTCAATAACTTCAATAAAAAGCGAAAAAAAGGGTTTCAAAACGAAGTCAGATCGGCCATTAAAAAGGAAATTTTTGTTTATCATGGAAACATAATAGCCCTTTACTGGGAAGAAAAGCCGACTTTATTAATGAATGAAAATAAATGAATCGACAATCCTCGAATAACAATCGTAGAGTGCGTTGGCGCTGACTCTTAAGATGGAAGAATGAGTTGAATCATGATTACAAAAACAGCAATGGTCGTAATTTTCAGTATAGAAAATTCCCATTTAGTGACTTTGTCCTTACCGACAAAAGAAGTCTTTCAGGTAAAAGGCCAAAATCGGCCAGTGGCAAATTTTCAAGTTGTCGATTTTCATTCTCAGCCGAGAGAAATGCTAACACCAAAGCCACTGAATACGCAACTTTCGGTTTTTCTTCTAGTATATTGGTTTTCTTCCCCTTCTAAGAAAGTTTTAACCTCATTGTCTGTCAGCGATACAGATTTTCTAGTGTTCTAGCCGCCATAATTTGAGAAAGCTCCGACAAAACAACTTGTATTGAGAATCGTGAAAGCTTTGCCGTCCATTCATCAACCTGACCGAGTGGCGCCAAAAGCGAGTGACGTGTAAGCAGCTTATTGGCTATATCAACACACGTGAAAAAATACGATGTTTTTTCACGTGTGTTGTTACAGCTTTTCTCAGGGCCGGAAATCCTTGTATAACACCGCAGTTTATATGATAAATTACTCAAATATTTTCAGCTGTATTAAATGATATTTACTTGGACTCTTGCGATCATATAATCTATTGCATGCTATCAAAAACATGACAGCTATTAATATCCTTCGTCGTTCCTCGACGTTCCTCGATTCCCAAGAAAAAACAGAAATAGTATGAAAAAAGAAAACAAACAAAAAAGAAAAAGCCCTTATTATCTTTATTTTTTTTTTCGTTATGTCATCGAAACGAAAGCTTGTATCACAAGGTAGTAACAAAAATATTCAGGCATCGTTGTGAACGCACATGGTCTCTGGCGTTAATCCCGTAGGAATCCCGTAAGTACCCTCACAATTACACTACGCCCGCTTTCCAAAACAAATATGGGAGGGGGGGGAGAGAGGGGCAGGAAAGCGACTACTCTCATTATTACTCTACACCCGCTTTCTAAAACAGACATGCGGGGGGAGGGGAGGGGGGAAGGGAAGAGAATACTCTCACAATTACTCTACACCCACTTGCAAAACAAATACCGTAAAGACTCGCAGATAAGCCGCACTTGCATCACTTGTTGACAGAATGCAAATAAAACATTTCCTTGCGTAGCAACAGAATGCGCTTAGCTTCAATTGGTTCATCTTTAGCCACGTTGGGACTAGGGCGAGAATGATAAATGTGGGTTTGTTTACTCAGAAGCAAAACAGGTCAAAACAAGATGGAAACGTTTGAGTTTGTCTCTGCCGTTCGTGGCTATCATATCTACAAAGATATTTGGGAGCCATCTGTTGGTGAAAAACTCATTGCACATAGAGAGTTTGGTAATCAGTTCGACAAATTTGCTATCAAAGTGCTCAACGGCGAACAAACAGTGGGCCATCTACCGCACGAATACTCGAGAATAGCGTGGTATTTTCTCGCTCATGGAGGATCAATTACCCTTGAAGTAACAGGCCGTCGTCGGTATGGTTTTCAAAGAAATTGTCCGAAATTCTGAAAGTTAGTCATGATAAAAAACATCTTTAATCACGCCACATTAGATTACACAAAGTTTATTCTCGTTAAATAGTTATATCCGGCAATCAAAAAGACTTATTTTTCTTCTATACAAAACATTTGTTGATAAGTAAAAAGGCGAATTAATTGGAATAATATTTCTTTACAATATGTCACTATTGAGGAATATTGAAGCTATCGCTTACGTAGAAAACATAAATACAAACTGTTTTTGGAGATCTACAGCAGTTAATTTTCAACTTATCGTGTATTGCCAACGCTTCCTCTACGCTTTTTCATGATTGGTTTAAAAAATCTCCTCAGCTTTCAAGTCTGAATCAATCATCTACAAAAGCCATCTGGTGGTCACACGCGTTTTTCCCGAGCTTGCTAGGGTTTTTATTGATTCACTAACCTGTAATTTACTTTCTTAGCTTCTTAGCAAAAAGGACTTGGTTTAAATGCACTTCCTTGGTATAACTCGTTCTTTTAGTATCTAGCAAGACATTATCTACACACATAGCTTTCATTTGTCTATGATATAAAGTAGCACTGGTCTAAGTATATGATGACGATCAGTACATAACACAAAAGTAAATATTACTTTTCGAGCGTGCTGATTGTTTAGCTCGTGGGTATTCACCCAAGTACCATTCAACTTCGAGTAGCCGAAAAGTAATATGACGGCTTCCCCTTTCGCCTCCGTTTACGCAGGGGAAATTTTATTAATGAACGAGGAGGCAATACCCGATAACACAAAAATTGAACAGTACTTCATTAAACAGCTTTGGCAAGCTGCACTGGTACAATTGTTGCAGAAGTATTTCAGCTCTTCTTTTTCGTGCCGCTGTTTCGAGCAGTGTATGGGTCGTATTATGACATCCTCAAAGTTCTTTTCCTGAAAATCTTTAAGCGCCAGAACACAGTGATTTTGTTACTTCGCATTATGTCGTGTCTAATGATGCATTCTTGGCAGTAAAATATGCAACACTGGAAACAATAAGATTCCTCGGAGCTTTTCATGTCGCAATTTCCTCACAATACTTGACTGTTTTAAAATTCTTTAATGGCCAACACATAAACCAGACCGTACAGGTAAAAACTGGTCGGTAGATCTTTCAGATCGGTACTTTCCGGCACTTTGTTGAGAGCTTGGCATTTCCAACATCTCCTTGTGTCTCGGCCACGGCTTGTTCTGTGCTACTGCTTCAAGCGCTGGAGGCAGAAACTGTGTGAACATTGGAGATGTTTTGGATCCGTGTATATGGTAGAACACACAAGACATGACACTCTTTCACGAAGATCTTGGAGCAATGTTTTGATATCCATTTTGTTCTTCGGATGCGAGCGAGGAGAACATATATTTGGCAGAAATCAGCTTTTAACAAGCTGCTCATTATCATAATGGATTTAACTCACTCAACCAATCATGCAACGGAAGATTCTGTTTTATCTCAGACTTTGTTATTCAGTATTGTGAGCTCGGCATTATTGAAACGCTGATTAATCCAAAACAAAAATCTCTCATGCT